CGTGTACTGGCCTTCTCGCCGGAAATTGATGCTTGATTTTGTTGGACAAGGCCGCGGCTCGTCAGACGGGGTCAGAGGTTGGATCGTGACTCGATGTTGACGGTCGAGCTCGTCGTTCGTCGAGGCCGGAACAATTGGGCGTATTTTATGTGAACTTTTATTGAGGGAGAAAAATGAAAGTGGCAGATGATTGGAGGTCCCCTTAAATAGGTGGAAAAATAGGGCTTGGAGTGGAGGAAGATGTGCGGGGATTGCTGCCGGATTTTTGGGGGAAGGCCGGATTCTATGGAGATCGGGCGTCGTGTTCGCTGATGGTGGCGGATTGTTGGCCGAGAGAAGGGGGGAGGTTCGATTTAGCTGCGACCTGGTCTTTCCTGCTCGATATAATGGAGATGGGCTGAACATGGGCTGAGACATTAAAGTCTCACTTAAGGCCTAACGAAATTAACGACTTGGGCCGAGACATGGAGGCTGATTCAAGGACTAAAATGGGCTGCTTAGAATTGGTCTTACTCTGAAGGGCCCAGTAGTGACTTAGGCTAAAAAATGACTTAAAGAAATAAAAGGCAATTAATATAACTACACTAGCCCATGAAACATACTAAGGAAAATTATAACACTTAGGCACAAAATAGAATTTAATACTTAGGCAAGAAAAGACGTAAAGTTAAACACAAAAGCATATTAATCAGTTATTTAAATAGGCAAAAATCACTTATGCACATATTCAAATAATCACATCGACACCTAATCAAGTAGACACTTAGACAATTAGTCAATTAATTACTTAAGCAAATAGTCAATTAAGCACTTAGACAAATAACTAATATAATCACATAATTTACTTAGGAAAATACTTCACATAATCACGTAATTCAATTAGATAAATAATTCACATAATCACATAATTCAATTAGGCAATTGATTCACATAATCACATAATTCAAACAAATAACTTACAGTTAGGCACAAATGAAAACTTAACACACAGGTCACATATGAGATTCTAAAATAGTCGAGCGATGCAACGCTGTGATTTAGCTGAAAAGAAACGGGGCGCTACAAAAGCGCACGCCGATGATCCCGCGACGACGGCTACTGACTTTTTAGACAAAGTTACCCTCCTCCCCACACCACATATATTTTATTATTAGACAAAAATGTTATACTGTTATAACCAAGTGGAATAAACCACTATTTATAAATAGTGACATTTTACTATTTGGAGAAATAAGAATAGTAAAGGGTTTTGGATATGAATAATTTTATGCATATTGTGTCGGTAGAATTTTCCTATAAAAGGCACTGCAAATGAAGTGAAAGTGTGCGCATTTCAGAAGAAAGAAAAACATTGAGTACAATTTCTATTTCGTTTCTATATTGAGTTCTATATCTTTCTATTTTTATAACACGTTATCAGCACGAACGCTCTACTCGGCCATAAAGGTAGGAATATATTAATTATACATATATGTATATATATTACACAAATATTAGTATATTTTACTAATCTACATATTACCATTATTTTTTACAAGTAAGACTATGTCATAGTCAAGAATATGTGGTATGAATATACTAAATATGACATTATACTAATTTATATATTACCATTATTATTTGCAAGTAAGGTTCTGTCATTGTCAATAATATGTGGTAAGATGATATTATTAAACTTACTTTATGAATTACTACTGATTATGAAAAATAACTTCAAGTTATAATAAATGTACACAAAATTGTTACTTGTACTTAAAACCCACAAAACGGTTTATCCACTAGTGTGATGTGAAATTTATAACTGTTTATTCATGTACCCACCGAAAGAATTATCGAGTAGTGTGGAGTACATTTTTATTAATTATCGAGTAATGTGGAGTATATTTTTATTTGTTTGTTACTTGTATTCACTAAAAATGTTCACCTAGTGACTCGGAGAAACTTTAAGGTAATATGCATGATTAATTAGAATTTTATAATTATGAATGATATAACTAACAAATATTATATCACTAATATGTTTTTCTAAAAGAAAAAAAAAAAAAAAAA